CATCTTGGCAGCGAGCGGCTGCCAGTGAGGATGCTGCTTATCTTGAACATCGTGGTTCCTTGTGTCACAGCACGGAGTGGGTGTATGGGCCCCGTGTGTGGGTGCGGGCCAGCCAGGGACCACCGAGAAGGGTCCAGAGGGGGGTGGATGCGACAGAAGGAACTGCCCAGAGTCAGCACGGAGAGGGAGCCAACACCTGAGCTTTGAGACCCGTGGCAGAAACCACTCCCTCCTTCCCTGGAGAGAGTGTGGCCTCATGGAAGATGTCAACTTGAAATCCCCAGAGTGGAGGAGGGTGCTGAACCCCAGGTGTCTGGTTATGGGGCGAAGAGGACCTCCGGACCCCCCCAGGACCGTCTCTGATGGGCAGGCCCAACCCCAGCAGTGTGCAAGGTGCTGCCTGGCGCCCAACAGCACAGCAGCGTGTGCGAGGTCCACCACGCTCAGCCTGCCCAGCTCCAGGCCTTGGAGGGGGGAAGGAATAAACAATGCCCCAAATATTGCTTCAGGCTGAGATATTTTTAGGAGTAATTTGGTTACTAGAGTTCCCCCAGCTTCCCACTTTGTGCATCCGCTTCTCTATTTTGTGCTGGCCCTGCCGACGAACCCCTGAGGAACCTGTGTTGAGCCCGACACCACCGCCATTGCCCCCTCCAAGGGTGAGCAACACCTTCAGAGAAACATGAGGGATTTTGGGGGAAAAGAAAATTGCTCACATAGTGTTATGTGAACACAGAGGCCGAACTGCAGGTCCGAGCAGAGGCTGGACAGGTGCCACCCTGCTAAGTCAAGCGGCATGGTGAGGGCTGCGGCCGTCCCGGGGAGATGGGAGCTGTCGGGGAAGGTGTGTGCGTGCGTGTGTGCAGCAAGTGTTCAGCCGGGGAAGGCTGTGGAGTGGCAGAAAGCGATGACTGTATTGACCCATCTGGTTTCTTACCCGTCTCTCCTCCTCCCTGCAGATGCACACACAGAATTTTACCGCAGGAAAAGGCTTGTCGGTACAAGACTGTTAAATTGCTTACACATAGCTGTACCTAAAAGCCTGGGAGTGAATGCTGGCAGCATCATCAGCCTGCCAGATGGGGCTGAGCAGGACAAACGTGTCAGTCTGTGTTCACGGCATGCATTTCCTTGGCCGCCTTTGAGATTGAGACACCCCACAGTGTGTGTCATCCCCCGTGGAACAGTTTTTCTTCCCCCTAACACAGGGGGAAACTGAAGTCAAAAGATGTCTGAAGAGGAACACGGCCGGTGGTGTTTAACTCAGCTGGCTGGATGCTCTCCTTGCTGAGGCGGGTGAGTGATGGGGCACATCATGTTAGCAGCATCACACAGAGAGCAGAAGCCTGAAAAATGGGTATAAGAAGAAAGGTTTACCCACAGAAAGAAGCCTCTATGGTTTAACAGTTAGCCAAATGAAAAATGATGGCAGATTCAGACTGTACACATATGAAGAAAAACCCTTGAATGTGCAGTACATACTCATATGAGAATACAACATCTCCAGTAGCATTTCACACCTTTCTCTTTTAATGTTAGCTTTTGTCCTTCATAAATATATACCAGGAGCATAAGCTGACATGAGTAGTCCTGCTGGAGTTATTGGGTGCTTATTAGCTTTGAAAAGCACACATGTTTAGAGGCCTGATTAGGGCCTGAGGTCCCCAAAAATGCTGATTTAGGGACCTCACTGTTCAGCAACTGGATGTGCTGTCGAAAGAACTACCTGTAAAGAAATCTTATTCCTGGATTTTGCTTGGTGCCTGTGATCAGCATCCCATCCGTGACACCCACTGGAACCTCAGGTCATATTCCCCATTACCTAAATTCAAGGTGTCACTTCCCTCTCTACTCTCCAGAGAGGATTTACTAAATTGTGCAGGAGTTGGAGCATGCTGTCCTTGAGATAGAAACAAAAACTGCATGTTGCTTTTGTTATTCTTGCTTTTTAGCTATCTTCTAATTTTGAGTGCATGCCAGGAGGAAACAGAGCAGGGAAGCGACTGTGGTAGAATCCAGGCAGGGTCCCTGGGTACAAGAGCGAGGCATGGGCTTCCCCTCTCCTTCCCTGTCCTCTCCTCCCTTGCCAGGCTTGTCCCTGAGGCCTCACAGCCACTGCGGGCTAAGGACAGCTCTGACACTCCCAACGCTCGCCCCTCTCAGACCTGCTCCTGCCATGGTCACTGGTGGCAAGCAGCAGCTCGGTGCTGCAAAAAGCCATGGTGCCCAGCTCATTTGTGCACTCTGAGACCATTCCATGAGATAACACAAAGCACAGCAGCGGCAGCCATCAGGAGGTGTGCTTCAAAAGCATGGTCCTCATCTGAACTGGACACACATGTAGGTACAGCTGGGCTTGCCCACGAATACTAGGTGTGATGTTCCTCAGGTCAGACCCTATGAAGCAAACAGTCCTGAAACTGTTCCCCTCTCTCTCCAGCCTTCTGTGCTTTTGCAGCATCAAGTGAAATGCTGAGTGACAGAGAGCCTGCTGTTGTAGGCTGCGTGCTGGCCTGTGCCGTCATGTGCTGATGAAGGGACCAAGGTGGGTGAAGGAGGTGCAAACCAGCCTTCCTTCTTGTGAGGCCTGAGGCATGGGCATGGTCTGTGTCACTGGTGTGATGCTGTCCCAGAAGGACATGGCGATGCTCTTAGGCTGGCAGGTGGCATCACTGTGCCTGCACCTCTGGCTGGCCCTAGGTCTTTCAGCCCCCAGAGGGGTCTGCGCCTAACTGGTTATGAAAACGCCCATGATAATGCAGCTGATGTGTAGTGAGATGGAAGGGACGGGCTGCTCTCCTGTCCTTTTCAGAGTAACTAAGAATTGGATTCTCCTCTGTCCCATTCATATATATCTGACATAAATCCACCTGTTAAGCTGCTTTAAAAACAATTATTCATAGTCCTAGCATTTCAATATAATTTTAAAAACTTGCGCAGCTGACATAAGGCACTGGGCTGAGGCACAAAAATATATATTTCATTTACTGTGCTACTTTTTGCCTGCTGCGTTATGTTTTGCCTCTTTTCCCTTCCACCCCATGTCTGCGTAGCCAGTGAGCACTTTGGGCAGGGACCTTTCCTCCTTTTGTAATTGTAGACTTCAGACATCCCCCAGCAAGGCCATACGGTGCAAAATCTCTGGGCACAGCCCCTGCCCCACAAGTGAGTTTGGGACAAGGCGCTTCCGATCGCTCTCTTACCCTTCAGCTGCTGCACCGGAGTCTTGTGCTCTCGCCCTGCTGCCCTGACAGCCAGAGCTGCCTCTGGCAGTACGGCTGTGCCCTGAAGGCTGGGGTTTGGGCATCAGCGATGGGACCACCCGTCTTCCTCCACCACCCCCAGCGCGGGCAGCCATCGCGCCGAGGGCACCGGCCAGGGTGGCACCGGCCCCCACCCCGTGTCTGTGCAAGAGTGGGCTTGGTGCCATGTGGGGCTTTCACAGGGGTGCTCAGGCTCAGAGGCCTCCTGCCCGCCCTGGGAAGCAGGTGGGGGCCTGGCATCACTGCCTACTGCCAGCTCCTCCATCACCTCCTGGGTACACAAGTAGGGGTCGAGCAGTGCCCGTGCCCGTGCCCGTGCCCGTGCCCCTCCCCCCCCTTCCTTTTTTGGTGCTTCACCAAATTGCATTGTGCCATTTAGCTAAATAACAAATTTACCAATTACCCATGAACAAAGTCCCCAATAATGAAGCAATTAGGATACCAATTATCAGTTACATACCAATTACAGAGTTGAGTAGTAATTATGTTCTTAAGTTATCAGTCACCACATTCTATATGCAAGATAAAAATTATCACAAACCCTTTATTTTAAAATCCCAAATAAAAACATAATGAAATACAGAACATAATGAAATACGCATAAACAGTAGGCATGATGTTAGGCAAACAGTGGATGTTTTTACCGCTGTATTATATTACATGTAGCAGCTAAAATTAAGTTGCTGATTTTGAAGTTTAACATTTTATTTTTATCTAAAAAAAATCTGTTGTAAGTTTGAATTTTTTTTCCAAAACCAACACTTGAGAACATTATTCTACAGAGAATTTGGTTCTCTTCCAGTCAGTGTTACACGGAATGAGAAAAATTAGGATTCTTTTTCTAACAAATACCATACCCAGTTTAAATAATCTATTTTCCCTCCTAGCTGTCTGATGAAGTCCTGAACACTAGCTAAAGTCCCATGCCAAAGTAGTATTTCTGGTGCCAAAGGAGACTTTCCAAAAGTGTGTAATTTTAGCTCTTGATCTGTGATGGAACCAAAAAGAGAAGCACTTGCCAAAATCAAAGATGGCCTCGGGATGGAAACAGAAAAAGGTGGAAACTTCAGAAAACATATTAAGCCAATACCTAAAGTAAGAATCCTAAGCTTATCAGAACAGAGCTAGTACAACTGCTGGTGTTTTCCCGCAAAGATCGGTGAGTCACCTTGTGAAAACTGATGAAATTCGGTTTCCAGCTTTAGGAGCTCTCTGCCAAGGCTGAGCTGATCAGCCTTCCCCTTGGCGGCATCACAGTCACGGCTTCTGCCTGAGCACGGCCACTGTTTCACGCAGGAATACTTGGCCATCTATTGCCTGGACTCTGTAGGAACAGGGTGTCTTCAGGAGTTGAATCTTTCTATCAGATGTGGTTGAAACTGTGTGTACACACTTACGCGTCTCTCTGAGGTGGGGAAGGAAAAATGGAAGGGAAAGCTTCAAGGC